TTGATGAAAATAATTTTTGGAATTTTACTTAAACAAAAAATAATAATTCGCACTACTTTTTGGTTCAAAATAGCGATCAATCCTGAAAAACTATTTTCAAATAATTCACTTTCTAAGATCACACGCCAATGTCTCCGATTTCTTTCTTTGATTATCTCACATTTCAAAGTGAATGTTTTTTCAATGAAGTAAATATATATAGCTCACCTGTAACTGAAGAAATCTTTAATAAAAACTTCATACCGCATGTAGATGATTTAATTAATTAATTTGAAGTTGGATTGAAGACAATTTTCCTTTAACTTATTTTAATTATTTCACTGAATTTTATTCTGTTTGTAGATTATTCTTTATTTCTCTCCTGCTCTATGAAACAAGAAATTTATTTAGAAATAATATTAGAAGTTTTAGTTACAATTTTATAATAAAAATTGCGTCTTTCTGTTTTTACAGTACAGTTTATAATAGGCCGCCTCTGAACGCCTGATGGTTTTTTTACGAGGAGCCTTTATTTCTTGTCCGAAATACGCTCGGAGGTGTGGACATTCCCTGCCGAGGGGCGAACGCAATTAGAAAATTTAACTTATTGTTTATATTTAAATATATTTTGCATAACATTTGGAAGTTGGTCGCATGTCAGTACGCAATGCTTAAGACTCGGCTGCTTCGGCCGCCGATAAATAAAATAAAATAAAATAAATAAATATATAAGGTGTAGTAAAAAGAGATCCATTATTTTTCCAAAATATGGCGTTATTTATATCTATCTCGCTTCCGTTTAGATTCTTCGAGATGGCGTTAGAAAGATGGCATTTCGTACTAAAGAAGCTTTCATGGCAGTTATGTGGTTGGTTGATTAAGTTTTTTTTTTGAGCGGGCGTCAAAAATGGACACTAGCAAAGAGAAAATCCGCCATTTGACAATTTTTCCTCGATAAGGACGAAAACGCGAGCCAGGCAACTGAAAATATGAATGGTAGGGATACTGTTACAGTCAATCGTGCACAATTTCGGTCTCGTTCCGTTATTTTTGATGTAAAAGACGCTTCGCGGAGTGGAAGGCCAATTGTCGAAAATGTCGATAAAATCATGGACACTGTCTCATCCGACCAAGATGGTAAGCACAGTTTCGATTGCACAAGAGCTAAAGATAGCACAAAAAAACCGAATGATTTGAATTAGGCTGGGTACGAAAAGAAAAACTTAAACCCTTCAATTTCCAGCAAAAGTAATGGATTTCTTATTACTACATCTAATATATATTTATTACATGCACTTACATACATTTTTTAAATATTTCTGAAATCCCATTTATTTGTCCATAAACATTGAAAAGCCGACGGCTTTTGCCATTTTGCTCAGAGCCAATCAGCTTGGGTAAAGAAACTGGATACATCCCACATGTCCAACGAAATGAGCATACAAATGCAAATACATACATACATACATACATATGTACAAATGTAAATACATACGTTGGCCCAAAAAAAGTTAGCTACTTCAAAAGAAAGCACTTCACAACATAAATAGAAACAATACAACAACAACAGAAAACATTTAGTTCCAAATGCGATCGTAAGTATTATAATTGCTAATTTAATTGTGTTAATATTTTGATGCCAAAAGCAATGGAGCTGCATACACACATGCATAAGAAGCTACATTTATTATTTCTCTATTTCTCTCAAGCTTTGGTCATATGTTCGGTGGTTCGCTCTGCTCGCATACAAAACTCTCTTCTGTGCCTTTGTATAAATAAAAGCATACTCTTTTTGCTTGCACTGCAATACCGACAACAGCCGGAGCTCGCTCTCATTCATGCACACAACTCGTCACACTCTCATTCAAATAAACTGCTCGCTGCTTGGGTGCGCTCCAACTTACTTGCAGAGTAAACAAACAACATTCACTCATTTCGGTCGCAGTTAACAGTGACAATATACAAAATCACTGCTTAGTGTTTTGTTGGTGAGGTTGACGAGGGGATTATGTAAATTGTGGTGGTGTAGTGGATTTTCAATATTCGCCAGCGGTCGGTAGGCGGTCTGGAACGTCACTGCTTTAATGTGATACATTATTTGGGATGCCTTTGTTGTTGTTTTTTATAAATACACATTGTGGTTGAACGTTAGGCGACACGAAATTTAGAGTGTCACACATGTGTATGAGAAAAGAGACCGAATCATATCCGAAGTGAACCTGGCACACCGACTACAACTTATTGATGAACCAACGACGACGACAACGACGGCAACCACTGAAAACGCTGCGAGCGAGAAAGGGAAAACTGCTGCACAGCCAAGAAGACTCGACTCAGCCCAAATGGCCCAGTGGAGATTTGTGTATGCGTGTATGAGTGGGCATTTGTGGTTGGGGCGATAGTGTCGGCGACACAAACAACGACTACAATGATAACGGTGGGGCTGTGCGGGAAAGGCGCTGGTTAGATATTCAACCGTACAGACCCCTATACATACGAGAGAACCAGCAACCAGCAACCAGCAGCTATTTACCTATGGAATCGGTTAAATTGTCAATATATCGCCAATACTTTGGTATATCAGCTTATTTAAGTATGTATGTATGTATGTATGTATACGAGTAAGTCTTTGGTATATGTGGCGAATGGTAAATGATGTTAGGTTAATACATATTGATGTAAGAGAGTGGACTATATGCATACCTTTGGCTCTGGTTTAAAATAAATGTCGCCAAAAATTGAATTTACTTAATTTCATAAACGTATGTAAATATATACATATATATGTATTTATATGAAACTAGTGGAGATTATTTACAGTATTAAACTAGTGAAGATGTTTTTATTATAATTGATTACCAATTAAATATTAGTATGATTCAACAACAATATTTTCTATTTACAGATTTTGTTCTTCTTCCTTAATATGATACATTGAATAGTTTAATAATGTATGTATATGAGAATATTGAGATATTGGGATAGCCACTGAGATCATTGCCACCAAATTCGACACTAACGTGAATTAATAATGTTAATTTTATGAATCTAAGCTGATCTACATACATACATCTGAAGAGGCCCAGAGATTCATATCGTCTCCGAGCAGCCCATGGATTCCTGCGAGATGCTACTGTTTTTATGTGATATAAATCTTCAGGCGGGGTTCCTGGCATTTAGAGAAATGCCTTTAATCTTATTTAAAAAAACTTTTTCTAACTGAAACTAAAAATTTCTACCAAGTCAGTCCGTTTCTGTATTTCAAAAACATTTTTTATGAAAGTGTAAAACGTTGCTAAACGTTTTGCATTAGGAATCCCCGCACTTTGATGGAGCATGCTGAAGTATCCAGGAGCAAAGATGATGGTCAACTATTCCAGCTTAACTTTGTTATCTAACAGAAGTAGGTATATAAATACGTAATGAGTAATTGGGACCTTAAAGACGGCCAAAAGTCCTATACAGGTAAAAAGTTATGAATTTTATACTGTTAAGGTTGCTGTCGCAGCCTGATTACTATTTTTGATCATTTTCTTCTAAAGCTCGTTTAGATCTAAAACCAATAAACAATCTTTGAAATTGAATTGAAAAATCGCTTGAAGTATTTTTAAGTCTGTCGCCTGGTCAAATTTTAATTTTTCGTTCATTTCTGAGATATTTTTAGGTAGAGCTCTTGATTCTTCCCTACGTGTATATGCAAGTTCTTGCGTTTATTGTATTATAAAAAAAATTTATGTAAGCTTATGAGTAATTGAAAACGGTCCAAATTCCTTTCAGTGAGATAGGAATTATCATTAGGATACGCCATATTGTTGTTGCTACGTTTAAGAGACTTTTAACATATGTATAAATTTCTCTTATTAACTTTAAGAGTGCATGCTCTTTCTCTTCAGCTGAATTCTGACTTTTTCTTTGCGGTATGGATTTTTGTAACGAACAGCAACAACAACAAAAAACTCATCAAAACATATGGAATTTTAAACCAAACAATTTTATACGGTTTTTCAATTTCTTTGCATCTGCCGCCTTCTCTTAACATAGAAGACAACGCACCCGACAGTCTTCCATATTTTTCACTGTGTGCGTGAATAACGAACAATCGCTCTTCTCATCGAATGTACTATGTGTTTGAATCATGCTCTTTGCAGCCACCTTTGTCTCCGTCCCAGTCACAACCTCAGCTGCGCTGTTTGCTGCTGCTCGCGTTTATGTGGCTACGACTGCGGTCAGAGTCGTTGTGTTAAATATATGTGGATGTGGTTATGGTTGCGGCTTTGACTTTGTCTTTCTGTTGCGCTCCAATCGACCCCTCACCAGTCACCCAGCGCCAAACAGTTGGAGACGATTTGTTTTAGCTTTTGCTGCTGGCTCATTCGTATGGCTTTTTCGTTGGTCGCACGGTACAGCAGACCGGTCGACCATTACTGTATTGCCAGCAAACACTCCAGTGGCTTGCGACTCGTCGACTCGCCAGTTCGACACCAAATGTACGCGCTCCGCTGTCTGCGCAACGGACAACCACCAAAAGGCAAGCCGCACAAAGACTGACAGACAATAACACGACGGAGCAATCGAGCTCCATTGAAAAACAAAAAGAAAAAACAAATTGAAAAACAAGCATCCGTGCGCCGTGAGTCACAGCGTTGTTCACACAGATACGCAAGTGATAGCCAAGCAGGCAGGCGGACACACCACGGTACGGCAGTTACGGTAACGAAACGTTGCACGCATTGTGGCGTGGCGACGAGGTTCGAAGTGATTTGCCGTCGTTAAAACGCAAATGTTTATTTTTGTTACTGAACCAGAAATAATTCATAAAATATTTTAGTTTTATTTTTTGGAGTGGAAATTTGAAAAGTGCCTACATTTAACTGCTAAAAAAACATTATGAATAGTGAAAAAGTTTATATTTGTTTATGAAATCAAGCAGAAAGTTGTCGCTAAAGAAAATTTATAAAAAAAATGTGCAAATAATATAAACAAGAAGAACAAATAAATTCGCAAAAAAATATTTAAAATCTTGAATGGAGTCTCCACTGTCGTTGCTGGAAGTGCGCTAATGCGGTGCCTTTCTAACCCACAAAATCAACAACATGAACAAGAAAACCTTAAACGCCGAATAGGAAAAACGTCCCCTAGAAAGTCACCAATGCCGCCCAAGAACACAGCCAAGCAGCATTTACATACATGAACTCGCAGTCGCCGAATAGAGCCCACCATGCCTTACAAGCGACATTTTTACTGCGACCAACGACAATTCTTGCGAGGGCAACAGAATATCGCATTCCCTACAACACCACCCACCGTCACCAACTGCCTCAACCACTGCAGCGAGAACTTCAGGCAATGACGGCGCTCTTCTGGTGTATCCTCACCAGCCTTTCCATCGTGTCTGTCGCCCGTCGCGTCGCCTTTGTCATTACTCTATTTTTTCCAATCCAATGGTGATTGGTGACTCTTTTTACATTCTTCAACCTTACTGTTGTTTTTGGCTGCTACTTGAGTAAGGTGGTGTGATGTGTGAGTTTAGTGCCTTTCCTCCCCATGTATGTCGCTGCTACTGCGCTGCCAACGTCGCTGTCACTGCAGCTACTGTCGCAGTTGTCGCATTCCAATTTTTATACAGTTTTTTCGTCTTCTCTCTTCGTAATTTTGTCGTCGAGTGTCATTGGCTGAGTCGCATTCGTTGGTGCTTATGTCGGACTGTTGTTGTTGCTATAGTAGGTGGATATATGGCACTGCCTTATCAAAACGTGTGCTTGTTACTTAATGTGGAGGGCGGAAAGGGGAGGGCTATATTCTGGATGTTATATATTTGAGTTTGGTGCGCTGTGGCCTAGGCCACGGAGTGTGTATATGTACAATATATATGCGTGTGTGCGGTGAGTGAGCGATTGTAAGCGTATAAGCTTACGGGCTATGCGAATATGAGCATTTCAAGCAAAGTGTGTACATGTGTGAGTATATGTGCAGTGCCTGCATGTATAGGTGCAAAAATGGAGAATTCATAAGTGCATGTTGTATGGCTGTGGGTTTTGGCGAGTCTGGTCTGGTATTGCACAAAACTCGCGCATTTCAATGGCGACACAGAGCAGCGACGACGACAACGAAAACGACAATTGGCGACAAGAACGAGAACGAGAACGACGATGCAATAATATTTTCAATGACCGCTACTTTCGTTGTTGTGCATGTTGTTGACTCTGGTGCTGCTGGCAATTTTCGATTTTCGCTTCCGCCAACGACAGTGGCCTGCAGAAATCGGCGAATATTTAACTAATGAAAGACCAAAAAAAAAAAGAAAAAAAAAATAGTGGAAACAAAATCAAAATTAAATAAACACTAATTAATAAGTTCGAGGCATTCACTTATCATCTCTTTTCGTTAACTACAGCTATTTAAATACTTATTTACAATCATACACACATACAAATGTACATGCATATGTACATACATATATACATATACGGAAGCAAATAAATAACAGCAACATAAAAAGAAAAGCGAGAAATTCGTGTTTTTGTGAACTATTGAAAATATATTGTTTTCAAATGAAAAGTTATGTGAAAAATATTAAATAAAAAAAAAATTATTCAAACCTAAATACATATGTAACACATACATGTGTATTTGCGTACATAGTTCATACATATCCTTGTGTTGTTCAAATAAATGGACTTACTGATAATACTTTATATAAAAAAGTGTTGAACACTTTCGTAATTAGTTAAATGTAAAAAAAAGAAGAAAACAATATTTTCACATACAAAATACACCAATAAAAAACAACAATAATTTCAATCAACAATATAAAATCACCAGATGCTGATATTCGATTAAAAATTATTTAAAGGTCGGAGAAAAGGGTGTAAGGTTGATTTGTTCCCAAAAGGCTTCATTTCGGAGAGGGAGGGTGAAAAACAGATTATTTAAAGAGGTGAGCTGATGAACAATGAACCAAAACCAATACATATTACCAAAATAATGATAAGTTCAATTTTTAAGAATAATAATTTTGTGTATGAAAACTGAAATCCATGCTTGAATAAAAAAGAACTTAAATAATTAATAAATTAAATACGAATTTTGCGCCAACTGAATTCTTCGAAGAACTCGATTAATTTCTAATTTCCCAAAAACTAAAAGGCACAGTATGTGTGTTTACTTCAAGAATTGGTCCGCTGCAAGCGATTGCAGCAATTAATTTCGCAATGCGTGAAATTTTGAAGAATTTAATTGTGCTATTATGTGCCTTTCCTACATTAAATGCTCAATCAAGTTATTACGCCACACAGCAGGTACTTAGAATTGCCAACATACACATAAGGATATACATACACATGCATGTACATATTACGAAGAGGATATTCCTATGTACCTATTGTTGTATATCATGAGTAATTATGTATGTATGCATGAGAGTACATATTTGATTAATGAATTAATTAATACAAATCGTTAAGTTTTGAGAGTGTAAACCAAAATAAAAACAAACAAAAATCAGTGAAACTACGCAATTAAAAAATTTCGAGTTTTAAAATAAACCTGTGTGGATTAGCTTTTCTAATCATGTAGAACTTATGCATTCGCCAATGGACGTAAATATAAATATGCGTGCAGTTCTATTTATTTTTTCAACTACCGCAATTCAATAAAAGCTTTGAAAAACTCTATAAAATATAAAAATAAATATATTTTTTTAATTTTCTTTCAAATTACTCGGTGTATGGTAATTGGAATAACCACAGCAATGATTTTGCCTTTATTGAAAAGCCTTTCTTATGGAACACCACATTATTCACCTATTTTAAAATATATTATATTCTCAATTGTGTGGCCCTCTCCGAGGGTTTCGGGTTAAATTCCGTCTTTTAAGTCGTGGATCGTTTTTGGATGATTGTCGCAGTCAAGAGTTTCCAACAAAGACAATAATCAAACGAAGTGAGATCGCAGCTATTTATGGCTCTCTTTGTCGTAAACCCCAGACCTTGTACTGAATATTTGACCCATCGGGAATGTCGTTGAAAATGTCAAAACTAAAAATCAGCTGTAGTTCAGCTGTAGTTTGGATCGAAGAGTTATTTTAAGCAAATATTATAAATTTATTGAGAGTGGCTGTATATTAATCAGGTTTATTGTACATTTCACTTTCGAATGAAAGTAGATGGAAAATACAATGACATTGCCATTTCTAAAAACCGATTCGACATTAAGAAATGTAACTCACCTCAAAATTGGCTTGTAGCTTTGTAGATAGAGCGGATAAAGGGCTAAGAACCATACCAAAAATTTCCTCTTTGCCGAACTTAAGTAGCTGATCTAACAGCAATCTCCCTGGAATAAAAATCTATCGAGACAGACCATTTTTTTGTTTCAGTTAAATCGTACTTAAATCCCAAGGATTGGAGTGAAATCTTTCTTTTTATTTTTACTTCTCCTAACTCAGAAAATTTTGAGTCTCACTGATTACGATAACGTTCGTTTTAATTCTTACGTTTTTATTTAACTCAAATTGCATTGACCTCCATCAAACTTTGATACTATTATAGTAGCTGTCATCATCTGTTTGAAACTTTATTTCGGAAGGAAAAATATAACTTCGAATCCCTAATTTTGCAGAAAACCCAAAATGAGAAGCGTACTTTCTGACTTTAATATGACAGCTAAAGTTTTCTGGATCAGACTGCGTCTATCCCACGGACGGGCATGATAAATATATTTTTGGCAAAAAAGAACTGAAAGTGCAATGCTTCCCCGCACGGCAAATTCATCAGACGTCTGCGAATTTTCGTTTACGACCTCAGTCGAGTCGAAACGGGTTCCACGGAGTAGTAACTTGAGTTTTGGAAATAAAAAAAGTCGCATTAGGCCAAATCCGGTAAATACGGTGCTTTTGAGTTTTTGGTCTTAAAAATCGTTCATGACTACAGCAATCATGAAAGTTTCCGGAAATTGTTGGTCCACAATTACAATCGTTTACGACGGATGTTTTCGGGAAATGTGTCGGGATCTCTTTCATGGTGATGGAACAAATGTAACCAAGGAAGCTCACAGGAAGAAATTGCGGAAACAAAAATGAGCTGCCTGGGAAAAGATGGGCGGCAATAGATTTGTAGAACACCTCGTGGACTTTTGACTAGCTGCATTGTTCAACCAACATTGAAGTTTAGAAAGGGTAATATAATGAGCTGGGCTTGTATGAGACTGAAGGGGGTTGAAGAGTGTGTAAGAGTTACCGGGCGAATGGATGCCCACTAATATGTTGATCTCTTTCAACATGGTTTGTGCAGAAGCCTAGAATTGTGGGGTAAGAAAGTGTCGGACGTCATCGGACATCCAGCAAGATAATGCCTTCACGTCTTGCCAAAGCTTGGCTTCAAAACAACAGCTTTGCAGTGCTCGATTGGCCCGCACAATCACTAGGCCACAACCCAGTCGAATTCAAATAAAAAAGATACAAACAAAAATCTTTTGCTGATACCCAGGTGTGATCGAAATTTTTCCATAACTCCTGTTTAAGTATTCAAGTCTTGGACCACTTTAATCGAACTCCACAAGCAATTACTTTTTATAAGACCTTAAGTCTTTCAAAGCGTTCCTCTAAATATACCTGAGAGTAAAATTTTGCTAAATGGCGATAACATTAATTATCACATTTATTCATATATACATAATATAATGCCTATCGAAATGTAGAATAAAATAATTTATATTAGGCTCTGCATTCCATGTGATTATGAACATATATGTATTTACATACGAGTATGTACATATGTGCATGTGTGTAAAAAGTTCAGTACATACACACATGCACAAAAACTAATTACATACACATTTATATAAAATTCAATTATGTGGAACTTTATACATTATATTAAATTAAATATGCGTTTTTTTTTTTTTTTTGTTTTTTCCAATTTGTAATTTTATAATAGACTTATTTTGTTTTTGTTATATCACATACATTTGCACTTGTGTATAACCATATTTTTGTATTTACAGCAACACTTACATATATTCGCTAATTCTATGGCAAAATTGCAAAAAATTTATTTGCTGAATTTTGTTTGCTTGCCGAGCAAATTCACCTCCATACATATTCAATCACTATACACACACACACACACACACATATACACACAAGCGGCCATATTTACACAAATTTCACACTGTTACGCCTCGACATTTATAATTGTTGCTTTTTAAGTTCACGCTAATTAAATGTCAAAGCTAATAATTGTTAGTGCTCGAAATTGCGGCATTTTTTTTTTTTTGCAAAGTCAGCGAAAATGGTGAAATTAATTTTCTAAAAACTTCAGCTAACGCGTGTATGCGTATATACATACATATGTATTTAGAAGAATTTATGGCAATTTTGCTCGCTTCTAAATTTCAAATAATCTATTTTCGTGCTCTTCAAAAAAAAATTTCTTTTCGAAAATAACATGAAATAATTTCATTAATTAAATATGAAATATTGTAGTTGCAAGTGGAAAACTTTAATGGTGCGCTAATCAATGAAAATTATTGTGTTTGATGTGGCACAAATAAAAGTGTGAGATTTTTTCATTACACTCGTACAACCAAATATAAACGTAATAAAAACTTAAAACTGCCATCACCTTTATTTTATTGTCGATACCTCGTGAGAGTTCAACCGAAAAGCTGCTTTAAAGGCTCGAATCTGTGCCACAGGGCATTTTATTGCGAATTACTCGTATTTGCAAGTGTTCCATTACTTTGGTTCTTCAATCAAAACTTATTTTTCTTTTCTTTCTTTTAAAGCTTTTTACCACTTATTTTCCCATACTCAGAACTCTTTTCACTTCACTTCAGTTAAATGTTCATCTGCCTATGAATTAATTAGGCTGCTTCGTAATCCAATTATTTTGAAGAAAGCAAAGCATTACTTGGCATTAACACCTTATAAAAAATAACAAATGAACAGTTATATTGCTGTAAAATTTTTTTCACAATTTAAAACAAAAAACTTTGACACAAATTTAAATGCCAAGTAATTTGAGCTTTACTGTTATCGTTTTATTCTCCAAATGAAGCCGCAAGAAAGAGGCTGCAGCCTAATGAATATGTGGAAATCTAGATATGTGTGCATGTACATATAAATTATGGTGTCCGGAAAATATGAGCTCTAAATTTTTATTAAGTACAAAGTCCAGTTTATGATGTTAAAGTAACAAATTGAGGCATTTTAGCTCCCTTGGGCCTAAAATATGGGGAACAACATAAATACCTGAATATGTAAACAACATTTTTACATTTTTACGATGGGAACTCGCTAATGCGCTTCGCAAATTAGCCGCATTTAATCTAATTTCACATCAAAACTGTTTCTTACAATTTTTTTCTTAACAGAAAACTTAGCCATAAAATGACGGCAGAAATGTCTTTTATACTTTTCTCTTAATCCAATTTTCTTAAACTCGCGTAGCTTTATTCATGAGCTGCAAATAAAAGTGAAATTGGGAAAAGTGAATCTGTAAAATGATAATGTAAAAAGCACAAAAACATTTCATAAAACCGAGCGGATTGCTCGCAAAAGCACGCAGGTGCGGCCGCTCGCGGTCAGGTCCTCGCCTGCCTCTTAAGCAACCAACCAAACACAAAATGAATAGTCGGGCTTTCGAGAATAATCTAAAGACAATTATTGTAAGCTTAGTCGACCGATTAAGATTATTTTTAACAGAGTCACCACGACTTCAAAATCATACTCAAAAATAATTTTCGGACAGTATTCAAGATGCAATGTTATGTGTATGTTGTACGATAGAGAATGTGGAATCAGCTCAAGGCATCCACAGAAGACGTCGACTCGCTAGAATACTATCTTAGCGAGTATCCGTCCTTCAGCCGATTGAGGTGTAATATTCTCAGAATACTCCAAACTCCAGCTTTACGGTTGAAATAAACTAAAACAGT